AAAAAGAAAATTAAAACAAGTGAATAATAATAAAATATAATATATCACGCCAACAGACGGTATTTTTTATTTAAAATTAAACATAAATATGAGTAATTTCAAAACACTGATACCCTCTAAAACCGAAAATAACTAATCTTTACTCAACCAAGAAAGTTTAGATATTAATAAATAACACATATTATAAAGTGTGTACTTCGAGATAATTTAGGATTTGTTTTACAAAAAACAGCAATATAAATCGTTATAATCAGTTATTTTAATTTAAAAACTAAACTAATGAATTGATAATTCTATGGTACCAATTTGAAAGTGTATCCTTTAAAATAATAAAAAGTTATGAGGTAAACAATATAAAAAAAAAAAGTTACAACAGAATTGTACACCTACTTCTATTTTTAAATTTGGTTGAAAAAAAAAAAACAGAATTGAGTGTACATACGTGTGGTAAAATCTTATTCTTAGAAACCGATCCGTAAATAGATTTTTAATAAATGTATAGTGTAATTTGTTACTCTGTACTAAAGCTATAACCCAAATACAATCTGTATTTTTATATCATGCGAATAGGTAATGAAAAGAGAATTAGGCCACACAGTGTGACCTAGTGAAATTAAATATACGTGACTAGTTTCCTTTATGATTTGAGTACAGTACAAGACTGTTGCGTTGACCACCAATGTGCGGGGGGAAAGGGATTGTTAGCAATGGAGTTTGACAGCCCCATTGTTAGCAATTTGCACTATTAGGTCGACCTCCACGTGGTTCCCCTGGAAACCATCGTAAACAATTCTTGGTGAATTCGTCACGATGGGCTAACTGAGCTGCTTCATCCTCACTTCATCCTTCACTGGTGCCCCGCCGGTGTATACCGTTAGCGCGGGTGGGATTACCATTCCATTATCACCCATTAAAAAAAGACCACCAATGTGCCTACTGGTCTGCTAATTATAGTCAGCCTATTCAATAAAACTCAATGTAAATGTAAACAAACGATTAATTGAGTCGTCCGTAAGACAGTCTGCTAATGTCCAATTATAATACAAATAAAAAATATTTATTTTATTTACTTATTCATTGAAATAATTATAAGATCATAACAGTAAAAATCAAATCATTATTATAACCCTAGTGCTTACATATTAATGCCACCTGATTGTGAATCGGAAAGTGCCAACCGTCGCCTATAACAATAAAGAGCAAAAACTGTATATTTTAATTACAATATCTATTTACTGGTCCAAAAACAATTATGTTAAAAGTCTGTTAACCAAAAAATAATATTGTATAATAACTTTTAACATATTGAAAAATAGATATCCGACAAATATGGGTCATAGCCACCGCCGCAGGCATTGCAGGCCTTTAAAAACGAATATAATATCTACTCTTTTCTTGAAGTTTATGATATCGTATCGGTTCGGAAATACTGCTGTTGGAAGTTGATTCCAATGAGTGGTTGTGCGTGGAAGAATGTAGAAAGTTTTGCCATCAAAATTCAAGTTTTCAGTGGCAGCTTTAATAATTATATTAATGCATGATTAACACGGATGGGGCATTTTTTATATTATCAGTTAGAAGAATTAAAAATTGTTTTTGAAAATTCACAGTTGATGGCGACGTTACAATACTTAGTCATAAATGCTCGTAAATTCCATTTAAACAGACTATACTTGTAATAAAGTTATAAAATAGTTATTGACTTCTTATGTGGAACAATGAGTCCCTTTGTGTATAAATAAGCCACAAATACATCTCTTAAGATGGATTATGTTTTCAATGTCATTGCGGTAGCAGCCCAGTCGGATAATGCTCGATTATGGTTCACAATTGGACATTTTTCATATTCATGTTTGTATCATTTAAGAATGTTTGACTTTTGATTAGTAAATTCATTGCCATATTTAACCTTTCCGTTTGATAATATTATAATTATTATTTATTCATTTCATCAACTGGATGAGCTTTAGAGTTTCCCAGTTCCATGTTCACCCAGTTAATTATGTTTGTTTGTTTTTGTAAAAACACAAATTACAGTATATCTGAAAATTTTCATATTTAACTCAGAGACGTCGTAAATATTAAGAAATAGACATAACATCTTTAATGTGGAAAGCTTTATATGTTACGCTTATATAACGATAACTCCCTCTGGTGTCAAGATTTTTTATACTTCCATTTTGGGATCTTTTTTTTATAATGGGTGATAATGGAATGGTAACCCCGCCTGTGCTATCGGGATACGCTGGCGGGGCACCAGTGAAAGATGATAGGTGAGGATAAAGCAGGTCAGTTGGCCCATCGTGACAAATTCAACAAGAATTGTTCCCAATGGTTTCCAAAGGGAACCACGTGGAGGTCGACCTAATAGTCCATTTTGGGATGTGTAGTAGGAAATTTCAGTAGAAAAAAATATGCGTTTTCCTGCTTTGAATTTAATTCATATAATCCACTTATACAAGGTTAACGACAGAGCATAATGATAAAAAATAACGGAACATTTGCTACAATTTCAAAAGTTGCTTTACAGTTCATTTTGGTACACGAGACAATCGCTAGACTCCATAACTGAAAATCGGTGGAAAGCCCCAAAACGTGTGCATTGGAGCTGTAATTTTATGGGTTTAATATGATTGGACACAAATTTACAGCGCCGATTGTTTCTAGATAGATTTAAAAATTTGAGAAATCAAAGCTAATATTTTTCTTTATCTTTAATACTACTGTAAAGTGATGATATCTTACAAGTCAATGCAGGTAGGACGGTACATTCGACGACCTTGGTGGTCACAGCGCTATATCTTCGGAAAGCCGCAAATTCATAAAATACCATAAAAAATTGTATTCAAGATTATGTCTGATTGTCTCAGTGTACTTAAATATGTATATGTTTAAAAAAATGTCTATCAATGGTCTAGTGTTCATAGTATAAGTTCCGTTTACTTTGGAATTAATAACCATTGTTTAATAAGTTCCGTATTATTATTAGTATTTCGATTATCTCGTAAAACGAAGTAAACTTGTTTTAAATTATTCTTGCGAACATTGACTCAATGATATGGGTATGATAAGAGATATCAATTTGTTGATTATGACATTTGAACAAGTAATTACAGGTTTTCGGTGACTAATAGTCGAAGGAATAAGTTTCATTGACTTGATAGTTTTATATTTTATCAAATAAACAAATTAAACTATTTTTTTATTTAATGTAATTTTATGTATTTAATGATAAAAGCGAGAATTGAGTATAACAGGACGGGATACCGTAATTAAAAACAGCTTTTAAAAATTATCTTATTATGGATAATAAATAGGTATATTTGAAGACTTAATAGCATTGTGTCATCATGAAGCCAGAATGTTATTGGGGGATTTTATTATATATTTAGTTCAAACTTAATTTTTTAATAATTTTAAAAGCAATCTTGTTATCATCATTGTCATATCAGCCGTTAACTGTCCATTGCTGAACAAAAGCCTCCACTGTAGACTGCCTTTGCCATTGGAGGATATTGCTAGTAGTTGCCATGCTTGGCAAACAGGTTGGTAACCGCAGTTAGGCTTTGATGTTTAAGAGGCATACAGCTGCCCATCCCTTGACCATAAAGTTCCCTTAGTCGCCTCTTACGACGTCTACGAGAAAGGAAGGAGTGGCCCATTCTATACCGGGACCACAAAGTACTAGCGATGCAATGCAACCTTGTACTTACATATTATAAAAATATACTCTTCAAGTTCGGAGCATTTCTTTGATTAATTATATTTAAAGTAAACTAGCTATCCAGTAGTGCGTTCATTCAACTTTGCTAGAGGGAGACAGCTGCCTGTACTATGCTTATATCACATTATCATAATATATGAAAGAGTAGCGTTCAATTTGAATAATTACTTGAGAGACATTAAATTTCAAGACTGGGAATGTATTAATTGAAGAAGCTATGGTTTGAAAACAAGGCAAGGTTAATTTCTATAGACTTAAAAACCCCTCACATCTGAACTGATTATAAAAGTTTGTTTCCTAATTTGATTGCAATTGTGAATTAATTTTAAAACTATATTTATAAAGTTAATTCAGTTATGGTTGATTGATACCTAATACAAAGTTGTAACCATTACCTGAGAATATCATTATAGGATTTACACTTCAGTCCTTTATTTATTTATACTTTTGCAACCATTAAAGTCTACAGGGCAGACTTAATGACTGATGGCTCTCTACCAGTCAACCGTTACACTAAACAGAGAGATTTATTCTGTTAAAAGAAGTCATTATTCTAGTTTTTATAATAAGTTTGTGAACTATTTAGATATTTGTGACTTAATTATATGTAAATAGCTGAATGAAATAAATAGACATAATAATAACAGCTGAGAATATACCTAGGTTATCCTAGTTAGTGTTTATAAATAAATTTTTAGACAAATTTAAAAAGTGGCCAGATAGTAATAACAGAGTCTATTGGGGAGGGGGGGGATTGTCATTAATAGGGACTACCAACCCCATTGCCAGTAATATACCCTATCAGCTCGACCTCCTTGCAGTCCTTTGTGGAAACTTTATTGACCTGTCTTTTCATTTTTACTCCGTTAGCGTATATCGTTGGCGCAGGCAGGGTTACATTTATCATTTAATAAAAAAAAACAGGGTACAACATATATATACTATAGTTAATACTATGATATTAAAGTTTATATTTTATTTAAATAAAAATATCTTTTAAATCTAAATTTGAAATATGTGGTGAACAAAAGCAAAGAATTTGACGTGAGGGCGAACTTATCCTACCGATGTCACTCGAAATGGTTGTTCAAGGTTATATTGTCAACAGCTTAGCAAATCAACAATAGTAAAAACATTGTCGAATTATGATGTTTTTCAGTGTATCTACTTATCAAAAAAATTAAATACATACAGAAAAAAAATTTATACTAGAAGTACACGGTAATTTCGTACGCCAGGTGTTTTGGAATATCTGCGTATTAAAAAATTAACTTACCTTCTACGGATCCAGAAGCTCTTTCGAATTGATTTCTATCCATAAAACACTTTCACAATTCTCAAAAACCACTATGTAGATCAAAAAACGTAAAATTCAAACGTTATTTACAATTTTACAATATTTACAAATATTCCACTTTCTACCGTGCGGAGTAGTGCGAAAATCCATAGACGAACATAGAATGAATGAAGTTTTTTTAGTCGCTTGTCAGATGTTTGACATTGCAATAGTGATAAACCACTTTAATCGTTATTTTTAATATTGATAATCGAATCACGTTATAATAATATTATTGAAATTAGACAAGCAGGTAACAGACAAATAATAATGTTTATTATTTTAGGTACTGTTTCAAAACGAATAAAAAATCTAAAAGCCATTTATCAAATATTATGCTTAAGTTGGATAGGTAAATAAAAGTGTGTGTATAATAGTATTCATATATGTACTTCTCTGATCTCACGACAAGATACACATAAGATTTGTCCTTTGACTATTGGGTTTATCTTTTGACTGTATATCTCATAAAAAAATCTAAAATAAACGCAAGAGGGGGTGAAGGGATTATCAGTTATGGATTCTAACTGACCCATTATTTTATTTATTCACAAAAAAGTAACGAGATGAACTTTACTATAAAAAATAGATAGAGATTTTTTAATCTAAAGGCGCATGTCTTTTATTTACTGCTTAACTTATAATTATTTATTTTTATATTTATTTATGGTTCACTGAAATAATATGAAAACACATTACACATATATAGCGTCATTCGTATTCGAATTAAAACGGGTATGCGATTTCGTATTATCGTTATTAGACGATTTTGGCCGTACTACACTATGATAAGTCTATGGTTAAAATATTGCTACATTATAAATACTTTTCTAATAAATGGGGGAAAATAATAATGACCAACTGAATTAACATATTTAAAAAATTACCAGTATATATCTTCAATATTTACCAATCTACATATTTTTTAAATTAGGATTGTATTTATCAACAACAACGTAGGTTTTATTGAAGGTCGGCAACGCATGCGTAATACCTCTAGTACGAGTATTGCAGGTGTTCATAGGTTACGGTAACCATTTACCATTAGGTGGGCCGTATGCTTGTTTGCCACCTCAGTGGTATAAAAAAAAGTACCTAGTCGAATATTGAGAATGTGTATAGTTGGTGAAGAATTTTCAATAATAATGAATCAAAAATGTCTTTGATATAAGTTTAAGAAATGATTGTTTCTATGTCAATTTATCTAAAAATCATCTATGAATTTAATATTATGTAATTTTATGAAGTCTTCGATCAGTAATAAACTCCGATAAAGATTATTTAAAACATTTTGATCAAGCACATTTCTGTTGCCGTTTTTTAAAACAAAAAAGGTGGAACACAAGACGATAAATTTTAGTGAAAATGGGAAATAAATCCACTGTTACTCAATATTTATAAATGCATAACAAATATATATATATATATATATATATATATATATATATATATATATATATATATATATATATATATATATATATATATATATATATATATATATATATATATATATATATATATATATAATCTTGTTGGTTATGCAAAATTTATATTTATTTTTCGGCGAATAAAAAAAATAAGAACTTAATAGGGAAAATAATATTATAACAATGGCAAACTTCTTTTAACTTCCGGACAATTGTCGGGCGGACGATACGTCGGGTCGTCTACTTTAGAGATCCAATCAAATCATTCGTTTCGTGAATGTATGTGGGCGATATCAAAACATTGTCAGCGTTTATAAATATTGCGCGATTTATTTACAAAATTTAAAACCTTGATAATATTGACTGAAAATCAATGGCTTATAATTTTATTATATTTAATAGAGGTGTCTAGTGTAAGATTACAGTGTAATTTGAGAGAAACGTTTGACTTTTCTTTGACTGTGGGTGATTAATAAATTTCTGTGGTTAAAATGACCGCTTCTACGATGATTGAATTGGAGTCCTGGATAATCTACCAATGTGTCCTCAATGAGTGTCATGTCTCCAGCTGTAAGTACCTATAATAATTAAAATAATAGTAATAATAATATATAAAATTCTCAAATTTTATTTCAGTAAATAAAAACGTGTTCCCTTGAAACATTAAATTCCTGTTAATAGATAGGCGCTATTGTTTATTTTAAGTCATTATTTTATTTATTTATTGTTTTATATTTACCTGTATTAAGTACATAAGTAGGAACCTTGTTAAAATTTAGCTAATCTTACCTACAATCATATGTGATACTTATGTACCTAATTGATGACTTCATAGTTGATCATCCTATTTTTTTTATAAAATCACAAGAAGATATATGTAGGTAGGTATTTAAGTTTTATATATTATTTCAATATTAGTATAATAATTAGGATATGAATTTTATATAGGTATTTACTTACATAGGTACCTATTATATATAAAATATATCAAATCAGAATTTTGAATAATCACTATCCGTCTTGTCTAAATAGCTAGGTAGTTGATACGCGAGACGATTCAATATCTATACCTACATATTCTATTTCCTTTACTGGTTCGTCAATAAGATTACCATTACCACTATTTCGAAATTTGAAAAGTCCTGACAAAAAGCGGGATCTTTCAAGTCCATTGTATAGCAAAATGAAATAATAAATCCTAAAAATAAATACATTTTATAGGAATTACAGACAGAAATAGATAATATATAATTATCAAGCAATTGTTTTATTTATTACATTATAGGTATACGTATTCACTTATAATTAAAAAAAAAGTCTGGCAGAATTCAGTTGCTTGGTAACCCTACTAGCAAATAGGTGTAGCCTCGGGCACCCAACGTAGACTAAGTAGGTAATTGACATTTAATCTTTCATTGAATTACCTACTACTTATCTAAATAAATACCCAAGATTTGTATCTGTTATTTAATTAGAATAATTTTATTTAATTCCGGTACCGTTAGCATGTGTGCGACTGCCAACACTCGAAAATTACCTTTACTATTACCAGAAGTACCACAACTTTTCATATTAGCCATCAATTTCCTACTGCCATTTCGGCTATGCACGTTCTGCGACACGTAATTTTAAATTAATTATATAATCAAGGACAAGAAAATACTAAAAACTGAAGTATTAAAATTAACATTTATTCAAATTTTAGATTTACACTGATGGCGACAAAATGTCCGTCACTTTCTCTCACTCAAATAAATACAAATTTATACTCATTTAATAAATGACTTTTCTAGTAATGAAAAGCAAACCGTAATTTGAAAATAACGATCTCGTACAAGACAATGTAGACCGAACCCCTATTAATAAGAGTCACACTTCTGTGGTAGAAGAAATTTTTTTGCTCATTCCCTTTCGTGGCTGATTTATTTATTATCAAGATTAAGTAAAAGGAATCGAGAAGAATAAATAATGTACCTTTTCCTCAAAATGATTAAGGAAACTGCCGCAAGGATCTTTATTATGGTAGAAAATCCTTTGCCAATAAAATTTCTATCCCACTCTGATCTATAGTTTAATCATAATGTACAGATAAACAGAGTGTATGTATGTACACAACGTTTATATTATTACTAAGGGTGCCGGTGATCCATTGTACATTGAATATTTTTAAGAGAACCGTATCTTTGAGTTTATCATGTAAGACCGCCCATTCAATTAATGCTAATAGCTGTTGATCCCCACAAACGCGCATGCTTCATGCTTGGATGTCTGTTATTTATCAATGATGCACGGAAATGTTCATAAATTTCTTAGAAGGAATGCGATGCTGTTTTACATAGTATGTGTTTACGTTGTGTTACAGAGGCTGACGTGAAAACCATCGTTTAAAAGTATATAACTTTTTGTACTCTATGACTTCAAATGTTCAGTGTGTTAGTCTATATATGGCCTATATGTATACAAAAATTTCATTTAAATCACTTCAGTCGTTAACTAACTAACGTCCAAACTACTTGAAACTTTAATATTTAATAGTAGGGTCTATTTTATATTGTATTCAAATTCTATAGTTTTAACAATGTTTGTAATATTAATACCAAGAATGTACAATAGCTTTGTGTAATACAAAGCTATTGTACTATGGATTTTTTTCTATATAACGAGGGTGGGAAAGAAAATATGGTTTGCCTAATGATAAGCTGTCGAAATGTCGTAAATTGTTGGCACATAATTCAGAGCAGAAAATACAGTGGTCTGTAATTAATAATATTGGAGAACATCCAGAGTTACCGAAGATCAGGCTGGCAGACTTATAGAACTAAACGGTAGAACTACACGAATACAATGTGGATTTCATGGTTAAAAATGTAAGGCACTGGTTCGGGATGAGTTCCGAGTCCCTTTCGAGGAGGCGGTGAAGAAAATAAAAATCGCCATGGTGATTATTAACCTCCGGTAGTGTCTACATAACTAGATGATAAACGGTGCATGTAACCTATAGAATTTTGTAACGCGAGAAACATCATTGGTAGGAATGTTACTCTTGTTGCATAGTATTCCAGTAAGAGCACAGACTAATTAGTAAGACACAGCACTCGTATAATAGCACTATCTTAATTTACTTTTTTCCACCGAATTTTTATCCTAACTTGACTCACTTGCCACTAGCCGTATCTATTTTATTCTTGTAAATGTACCAACTAGTCTATGAGAACGAAATGCTAGAATACAAATTGGAGCTAGTTATGCAGAAAACACCTATATTACTTGTGATGAGGATAAGAGAGATTTTTTTCTTTTTCGTCATTTTAATAGCAGCTCAGATTATTATTACTCCTTTCTAATTTTTTAAAGATCACCTAGTAGTATTGCAAAAGACAATTACGAGAACTAAGTAAAATACAAGTATATCAGCGTAAGGGAAAGGAAAATCCTTTTTTTTTGCGAAAAATGCCTTTACGCATCTCGGGGAATTAGTTACGGGTAACTGGGTCTCTGTATAGCAGTGGTTAGATAATAGAATTTCCTTCAGTGGAACTACACACAAAAATCTAACTCTTACTGCCATCTTGTAAAAAGGATGAGCAGAGGTTTCATTTCCTTTTATCTTCGAACTCCCCTTGTTGCATATTCTGAATCAACGCAGCCATATCTTGCGACTTCTGTAGCCGATCCTTCTCCTGAGACTTATGTCCCAGGTCCTCGGTCTATATATGGCGTCAACCTCTTCTCCACTGACACGGGTCTTTGTCTTCCTTGATCCAATTTGCGTTTTCTCTTTTACTTATAATGGCCTCGCTTAATGCAATTGAACAAATTTAAATTTTTCTGATAGTTTAAAAAGTGCTGTGCTAGCAACTAAATTAATTAATTAAACTTTAGTGAATGAATATAAAATTACCACTAAAAACTTTCATATTTTGCTTTGGAAATTTTCAAATACCTTTATCACAGGAAAGTAAAAAAATTAAGCTTCAACTAAGTATGTTATGTTAACGTGTTAGTTCGCTAGCGGACTGTTCATATTATTAATTAGAAATATTCAAGATAATTGTTTTTGTAAATTGACATATAATTGCGACGTCACACTTCGTCAAGCTAAAGTAATTAATGTTCTTAAAAGGAAACGCAAGCACCGCTTTACCCATATAAACGCATTCCAAGTCCATCCCTGTTTCCAAGGATAATGAATGACTAGAGTGAAACTTTTTTCACCATCCAATTTGTATCTATCACTGCCATGACTCTGTCTTTTTTTTTTCAAATATTTTCACAATAAATAATAATCTTTAAATATTACAATACTCCGTCAATTTTTATGGCTGGAATGAAACATCTACATAATAATATATAAATATATATATCTGTATAATATATATACTATAAAAAACACATTAAAGACATAAGAGTATAAGTAAAAAACTTCTTGTAGATATTATTATTGAAAACATGATTAAAATCGGATCAATTTCGTAAAAGAAAACGGGGATATTCAAAATGATGAGTTCGGCTATTTTTCAATCAATTTTATGCAACCTAGAATGGCAAACAAGCTGATGGCTCACTGGATAGAAAGTGGTAACTGTCGTTTATAGACATGAGCAGTACCATGGACATAACAGAGTATACTGTTTCGCCCATGATATCCCCCATGCGTTGCTATTCCTGAGGACTCGGGTATTATCGAGGGATGGGTAGCAGCGTCCCTCTTAAAACATCTCCAAAGCCTAACTATGGTTGCCAATCCGTCTGCCAGGAGTGGCAATTACTGGTAAAACGCCCCTTATGGGAAAGGCTTATGTTCAACAATGGGCAGTTAACGGCTGAAATGATAATGATGATAATGATTTATTAATTTAAATTTTATTGACCAACAAGCGGCCCGTCCCACCTTCGCACGGGTGGACATTTTTACATTTTAAAAAGTGGCCATTAAGGCTGCACACGCGACGGAAGCTTAAAAATGGAGTAACTTCTCCCGTTTTCCCAGCATTTCCCTTCACTACTCTGCTCCTTTTGATCGTAGCGTGATGAAAAGTATACTATAACCTGCCCAGGAGTATAAAGAATAATTGTACCAAGTTTCGTTAAAATCCGTCGAGTAGTTTTTGTTTCTATAACGATCAGAGAGACAGACAAAAATTTTACTGATTGCATTTTTGGCATCAGTATCGATCACTAATCACCCCCTGATAGTTATTTTGGAAATATATTTCACGACAGAATAGAAGATGAAATGACAAAACATTTATTTATTGACAAATGGCGGACTTAATGCTTTAGGCATTTTTTTTTAATGGGTAAAAATGGCATGTTAACCCCGTCTGCGCTATCCGTATACGCTGGCGGGGTACCAGTCAGGGATAATAGGTGAGGATGAAAAGGCAGGTTGGTTAGCTTATCATGACGAATTCAACGATAAATTAGTCACAATAGTTTTCAGGGGGAACCGCGTGGATGTCAACCTAATAGGGTACATTGATTGCAACGGGGACTTACCTCCCCATTACTAACAATCCCTCCCCCCTGCTATAGGCATTATCTACCTTTCAACCTTTAGGATGTTCAGA